AAACAGCTGTGCAAGCAAAGTCACCCAGGATGCGCTTGCTGCAAGGCTGATGCAGCTGAGAATAAAATGTCTGCTGTCAAGCGATATTGAGCATGTTCTGCAGATCACCAACATCAAAGCCTTTCCCATTTCAGATCTCTCTGTTCCTATAATTGAAAGCAGTTGAAATGCTGTTTTACTGTCTACAAGTCAACCCCTAGAAGAGTCAGTCTGGCAGCACTCACTGCTTGCACAGACCCGGGCAGTGCTGCACAGGACGTGTCCCCAGCTCCTGCTCCCGATGCTGCCTGCTTACTCTTCCTGGGTGGCATCTTTTTAGAGGGATGGGATTGCTCAAACTGAGCCACCACCAATGCACACACAAACCCACCAGCTCAACTCCTCCCACAGCCAAAAGCTCAGCCATCAGAGCATGGCAGCCCTCACAGAGCCACCACAAACCAGGGCCTCAGTCCCTTGCATGGCAGAAACACAGCTGAAAGCAGGTGGAAAAGCCCTGGGCTTGCAGCACAACAGAAAAGGCTACTAAAATTAGTGGCAGAAGGATAAGAGGTGACAGAAGGAATGCAGAGTCTGGGCTTGGAGTGCAGACAGCACCCAGCAAGGAAGGAAACCACTGATCCCAAGGTGCAGGGAATAACTGCGGCCATTAACCTCAATTTTATTGCTAACCATCAGATCTGAGAAATATCTCAGCCACTCAGGTGCAATCTAGAGAAGGCAAGGGAAAACAAAACATTCAGGCTGAAGAATAATTTAGAAAGATGGGAAATGAGAGCAGCTCCAACTCTCTTATTCCTTTTTTCCAAGAATTAAGGGCACAGCTGTCATCATTCTCAGGTCACCAACTCTTGAGGTGTGCTGAGAGGTTAACAGGGCGCTTGGCCAACCTGCCCTGGTGAGAGAAAGGAGAAGTCATGCAAAACAGAAATTATAAACCAACCTGGAGGAGAAATATGTAGACAAGAAGGTAAAGAATGAAAAGCCAGAACAGAAAAGAAAGGGAAAAGAAGGCAAGAAAAAAAGGGAAATAGGCATATGAAAAGCACCATAGGCATAACACTCAAACACAAAGTGGAACAGAAACAAAGAAGCAGAGAAAAACCAGGAGGAAGAAGCAAAGTTAGAGATACATAGGCAAGTGTGCTGTGCTTTCACACGTATGTTTGTATATAAATAAAATAAATGTTACTTGTATATAGATATATTCATACAAACACAAGTAGAAAAACCTGTGCCTTGCTTATCTACATTGCCCTGGACAAAAGCAAATTCTCTCCTGTGAGTGTGGTGAGACACTGGCACTTCTTGCCCAGAGAAGCTGTGGACTCCCTATTCCTGGAAGGGTTCAAGGTCACAAAGGATGGGGCTTCAAGCAACCTGCCCTAGTGGAAGATCCCTTCCAACCCAAACCACTTTACAGTTTCTGTGATTCTATATCTTCACCACCAGCCAGGCCAGCACTGACAGTTTTCACTGGCATGGAAATGGTTTCTGTACACTCCTTGTACCAAGCAGGCTGCAAGTTTTACTGCTATTCAGGGCTGAAACAACACAGGAGCTATAGAAGAAAATTCACTCTACAGCAGTGTGTTTATGGTCATCATGTGCACAAACAGCCACAGATGCCCAGGAGGAATATCAGCACTGTTAGTTATTGGCATTACATACAGCACCACCAAGAGCTTGAGATACCAAACGTGTCTGTGCTGGACGTTATGTAAAAATAGACCAGAAAGGTCAGACCCTGTCCCAGAGACCCAATGACCTAGGGTAAAACCCAGATATAGATAGAAAGCAGAAACAAATAAGGCAGGCTGACCAGAATGGAGCCATGCCAAAGGAGACACTGTCAACTCACCATACATGGCAATCCTGGATGGGCACATCTAAGAATCCTGCTTTAGACAGGAAGCTGGAAACGGGTCAACCACAACACAGCAGGAGCACAGAGCCAGCTATTCCCTGTTCTCTGAAGTCCTGCTTAAACCACTAATGGATATGGTGAAAAGATCCCCCATAACTGAACCTGTAACCAGTAACCCACATCAGAACCACCACATCCATCAATCCACATAGAAACAACCCCTAACTAAAGTGGCCACAATGTCCATGGTGATCTTGATTTCAAGATTCCTCTTCTAACTACTGGTTTGTTTAAGTATCACATTTTGAGACATACAGAACAGATGGGGACCAAGAGTCCAACATTAATTAACTTGGAATCTGCGAGACCATCACAGATGATAAATGAGGCAACATAGTTTAAAAAAAAAAGTTTAACATGTAACACATCTGCTAGATAATAGAGTTTGCTCAGACCTGTTAATGCAACAAGGTGCTACAAACCAATCTTGTGATTGCAGAAAATTTCTAATAATTAACCGTAGTTTGTAATGGGTGAAGAAAGAGAGGCTAAGGACGTCTGGGCCCTTACCTTAATCTTTCAATTTCCTACCTTTTTTTTGTATTCTTAAAAGTCTCGAATCATTGGGGGTAATTGGACCTGGAGCAAAGGTATTTTGGTCAATGCTGTTTAAACACTGCAGCCATCAACATATTATCTTTTGGGTACCGTATCAGCTGATGAACTAACATCTGATACACGTTCTTTTTCTTCCTTCCTCCAACTCAGCAGTGGAGGGTCTTGTTCTGCTTAACTGTCTTTAATAAACATACAAAACATTGCTATATATTTAGGAAAAGGACCTTCAGTTGAACATAACTTGGAGCAGAAATATTATGAGGTTTGTGGTGATCCTTATCTCTTGAGGTTGCACAATTCATGCAAAACTGGACCTTCAGAGAGCAGAGCTTCCTTTCCTTGCAGAAAGTTCCTATGGCCTTTGGCACAAAGTTTTAAGCAATCTTCCTTCTACCTGAGGCAACTCAGGGAGCACACTGACAAGAGAACAAAAGACCTCAAAACTTTATCTGTATTTCCAACAGAAGCCAACAAAGAAAGGCACACAGCCGAGATGGGCTGCAGCTTCCTGGATGGGCTGGTGCTCCCTTCACTCAAAGGCTTCCTCCACAAGTATGTCACTGATGCTGTCAAGCCAAGACACAACAAATGTCAAGGACAAGACCAGGACTCTTCCCATGAAGAGGTGCTGGACCTGCTAAACAACCGGAGAGGAGAGAAACAGCAGCACAAGAAAATTTATCACCAGGAGAAAGTCAAGAGCACTCTCCCACTTACCACAGACCACCTGTGGACAGCAGGGCAGCAGCAGGCTCTTCACCCCCTTCCCCAAGCTCTTGGGCACTGCTGGAGCTCAGAGAGCTGCTCCTTGTCAATGACCCAGCAGCACTCAGGAATTTGGCTCCCTGGCAGCAGCTGGGTACAAGAAAAGTTTAAACAGATCATCTTCACACTGTGGCCACCTGGGCCTGGGCTGCCCAACCAGGTCACCTACTGCAAGACAGTGTGTCATTCCATGTGCCAAGACTGGTGGGAGGAGGCAAACTCATCATTTTTCCTGTGATACCAGCCACTTCAAAGAAACAACACTTGACTTCAAGCTCCTTCTTCTGATGTCATTGTGCCCTGCCACTGTGGAAGGACGTCAGGAGCCTCTGTACAGAACTGCTCTGCTGGCCAAGCCTCCGGTGAAACTGCAGCTGCAGGAGTCCAGCCTTAATGCCTGGCAGCTTCTAATGGACATCAAAATCCCTGAGTATCTTTAAATGAAATATTAATGTTATAAGTAGTATTTCATGGGTCTACTGGCTTTGTCACAGTTCAGGGAAGCCTTGAAGAGATTTAGCTCTGATTTTAAAGAGTGCATGGATCCCACATGTCAGCCCATCCCTGATTGTATCCCCATACCTTCACAACCTGAGCTTTCTTTCTTCTGCCACAGTGGAAACAACATTTTTACCTGCTCAGCATCCAGATTTGCTAAGCAGAACAAGATACAGGTATTTATCACCATGAATCTTAGCACTCCTAATATTATTACAAGAAGGTGAAATGCATTATCAAGAACAACTGTAAGCTCCCCTAATCTTATTGGATCAGGAAAAGTGACTGAAGGTTCTTGGATCCCTGCCATCTATTCCCCTACCATACTGCTATGATTCATGAGGAGGTGTTAATTAACAGAGGGATGTATAGAATTTAAATCCTATCTATTGTAATTTGTCTCACAAAAGCACCAAAGAAAAATAATCACTAAAAGTTATTTAAAATATCCTGCAAAATAAGGCATTTGGTAGAAATCACTCAGGTCATCGGGATTTATGAGGAAGGCAAGGATAGTGGGTAGCCACAGGATACATGCTGAACACCCAGGAAATATAATGTGCCTTATTCTAGTGGCAACAACTTGAGCTCTGAACAGGCTACAAAGATAGTTACACCCAAACTCGTACCTACTACCTGTAGACTGTACTTGATACATTTATCCTTAAAATTATAATTACAAAATCACTTCAAATTTCCTTTCCTTTTTCTTCCTCCATAGGAAGGATGGCCATTGACTGTGCTATGAAAGATGAAAAGCCAGTCCTCACTCTATCTGTCACAGTAAAATAGGAGCTAGGAAAGGTCTTATTTCCAGACCTCCAACATTTGCACTTGAAACATGCAGCTGCTTTGGAAGAAGTTTTCAAAAGCTTTTTTTCTGTCTAGCTGTGTTAGTTGCAGCCACCAGACCTCCCCCTTAAAGAGCACCTACACAAGTCATCACTGCCATTTCTGACCAGGTCAAGCACAGGAGCTCAACCATTTCTGTGAGGCTCTGAGGTCCACCTGATATTAGAGCTCTGCCACTCTATGCTGTGAACAACCATATGAATGAGAATGGCTGCCCCCACACATTTGCAAGTGAAAGAGGCTGAGGAGAGAAAAATGGCTTGTTGAGACACCAAACTTTCCCCACAGCTGATCATTGGGAGCCCAGTTACCTTTTCAAGATGCTTGTAACAAGCAGAACTTGTGGGTCTTCATGCTAACAGCCCAAGGAAAACTTTTCAAGGCAAATTTCCCGTCTGAACCTGTTTATTTAATCATATTTATTTACTCTCCTTGTGTAGTCAGGAAAGCTGGGCCTCCTTCCATCTTTTTCCACAAATGGAGACCTGAAGCTCAGCTTTCTAGTTTTGCCTCAGTTACCAAAAACAGAGACATGCTGGTGGGAAGAACCTTCTGGGGTCTGCAGTCCAACTGCCCAGCTCATAAACAAGGCTGATTATTTTCCTCTGTAACACCAAACACATGTACATTTTTGATAGCATTTTTATATAATCTAACATCAGCCTTTTTAAACAGTTAAGAAATGTGTCAAGCTTTGCTCACTCCCAAAAGCTAACTAAGAAGAACCAAAACCAGATATGAGATACCTGTAAGTCCAAGGATTCAGCAATTCAAACTGCAATCGTCATCTAAAACCCCTGAGCAGAATCTCAGTTGCCTGTGCCACACCATGAAGCTCTTTGCTCCCCCAGGAGAACTCCTGTGAAAATGTATTTCAGACCTTCCTACACTTATGAAGGAGGATCAAAACTAAACCTATTACTATTACTATTATTTAAATAGGGCTGGAAAGATTGTTAAATATTTCCACAAGGATGTATGGTGTCTTTCTGCTCTATGTGTTAAATTACAGGCCACGGCACTGACAGCTGTAACTACCTATTTACAGCCCCAGCTGAAGCATAAAGGGGTTTTGGTACATCACTTCCAGAGACTGCTATAGCATGACTACATGATTGTACAATAAACATTATGTTTACAACACAGCTTATAAAATAATAATGATAGTTACACTGATGAGGATAATCATAGTAATACCAAACACCAATATTAGCAAACAGGGACTAATGCTTTATCCAATCAGGAAGATGTCAAGGGTTCAAGCACAGTCTGGGCTTTTGTGATTGCTCCACATCCCCCAGGCTCAGCCAGGAGCCCAGGACTGCTGTTCCCACCACATAAATGAGCACACACAACACCGCACGAACACCCGTGCTGCACCACGGGCAGGGACAGCGATACCTGATCCAGCACTAACACTTCTCAGCACCTCTCTGAAAGACATCTAGGAAAAGCCAATTTTCCTAAACTTGCAGAGGCTGTGAGAGTCTCCAGCCTCCTGCACCACATGTCCTCTGCAAAGCAAGCATGCCCCATCCACTTGTGCATTCAGGGCTCACTCCCAACCTGGGCAGGGAATTGTGCAAAGCAATGCAATGTATTTTCTTTTGGCTGGGATTTTGCTCAGCCAATATTTTCAGGATGAGATGGTTGCAGTATGATCAAATCTGGGCCTCAAAATACAGAGTGCTAATCAAGAGTTGCAGGGTGATGCTTTTTTTAAAAAATAATGCTCTTAAATGTGTTTTTTCTTCTCCTTTTTCAGTTGCTGGCAACAGCTCCCCAACACCAGCTGATATCTATACAGGACCTCACAGGATGCTACTCCTCCAGTACTGGTGAAAAGATCCAAAGTTTTTTTGTTCCCCTTATAGGGAGGAAAAAAATGAGGCTAAGAACCTCTTAATTCCAGTAGTTGGGAATTCAGGGAAGGTGCAAAATTGCCTGAGACAACAGGCATGCAGCATTTAAGCAGGCAGCACATAATCTGTCTCATGCCTGCTTGGGAATGAGTTCAAACCCGTAGGATTCGCTATCTTACAGAAATATCCTGAACCAGAACTTACAGTGGTACTAATGTGATGGCTTCTACCAGTTCCAAGCGAAGAACGAGGATGCTGCATCCACACCAAAGGTGTTAGTGGGCTGACACAGCCCTTAAAGAGCTCCATTCCAGCAGTAAGGCTAAAGCACAGATGAGGCAGACAACCAGCAAGCACTCACAGAAGCCAGGCAGCATGGAACAGCCACTCAGAGAAAGCCAGGGAGAAGCAGACCAGCTTCCAGCTGGACAAAGGGAAGATGATGACAATGAGTGGTTAGGAAACCTGAGTTTTCCACCTTAAAATCCATGCACTGGACCCCTTCAAAGTCTGGGGACTCCCAACACAACCTGCATTGTGCTGAGAGTCTCTACAAGCTGCTTACAAAACTACATGATGGGATGTGGTCTTGCCACTCAGCTCTGTTCTGTAGCAGCCTCTAAGGATACAGCCTACAGCTCTGGGTACTGCTCTGGCAGTAGGAACCTCCTCTCCCCAAAACAGGAGAGCTTTTCAGGCTTTCTTCAGACTTCTCTACCATTCATTCTTACCTCTAGAAGAGGAGCTGAGTACTGTGCCTGGAAAAGCCCCCAGCCTATAGATGACAACCCCAGTGATGTAAACCTCTCTCCTTGAAAGTTCCCAAAATCCTTCAGCTCTTGGCCAGGTACATGATCTGGCACTGGGTATTCCTGACTGAGACACCAGAAGAGGTGACAAAATGCTGATTTCCAAAATGTCTTGGGTTGCAATGCAAGATATAACCAAAAGTATGTGTTCTATTACCATCTGTTAAAACCTGGTGGGGCAGACCCATCCTCCCTCTGGGGGGATATATTCTGTTAATTGCTATTGAGTCTCACTTCATGACTGATAAAATTACATCATCCCATTGTGAGACGCTCCACCCAGGGGGAGGAGCCAAGCATTCCCACCTGGATATAATCTGAGACTTGGAACACCACAGGCAGCCTTTCTCCACTGGATTCCCAGAGGAAGACCAGACCCATCTACACCACCACTGGGTCTTCAGAGGAAAACTACACCCTTCTACAGGATCATTGCTTCAAGAGAACCACATCTGTCACTCCAGGAGGACTGCAGCCACCATTTAATCAGTCTGCTACCAACAACCTGGCCAACAGGGTGTATTCTGACTGTCAGTGTTGAGGTTTTTTTTGTACTACTGCATTTTTATTTTCCTAGTAAATAACTGTTATTCCTATTTCCATATCTTTGCCTGAGAGCCCCCTGATTTCAAGATTATAATAATGGGGGGGGGCTGTACATTTTTCCATTTCAAGGGAGGTTTCTGCCTTCCTTAGCAGACATCTGTCTTTCCAAACCAAGACAATCTTGTGCCAAAGACACTCTACTGCGCAATGACACTCTTCCATGCAAATACATAGTCCTTCAAGGGCTTTGGGCTGCTCTTTCTTGTCTGAGTCCTCCACACATTGCAGCTCAGCTCAGACCGCTCCCCAGCAGCACAGGTAAGCTCCCTAAACCTGCACAACCTAACCTCACAGTGTGGGGGCATGGTCAAACCTCCCCTCTATTGTCCAGCAACTCTGATGAGCTGATTTGCAGGAACCTACAAACAACATAAGCTGATTTGCAGGAACCTACCCAGTAATTTTAATACAAAGCTTTTTCTACTGCTTCTTCCAGCTCAGGTTTTAAGGCGGAAATGACTGAGACAGAACCTGCCCCTTCTCTTGGCAATTTGTTTTAGCAGCTAATCACTCTTGCCTTTAATTTCTAATTCACCATAGATTCTGTTTTGAATTATTTACCAGGCACTGGTTCTAGCTCTGCCTGTCACTGCTGCATTTGTGAGCTCCTTCCTGCATGATGCACTGCACCAGCAGGAATTCATGGATCATTTTTCCTTTGAGATGATGGGAAATTTAACTGTAGTAGCTGCTGACAACAGCAGTGAACATGTGACAGCACAGGCAACAGAAGGGGTGGGACAAACCTGCCAGGAAAACCTGGGTGATACTCAATAGTACACCCCCAGTACTCAAGGTATCCTACCCTGATCTGTAGGATAGAGCTCCACACTGATGTTCACATCCATACCTTGAATTCAAGTAATGAATGAAACCATCTGGGCACACATTAAAAGGCATTCAGATCATACACCTCTGGATGTTTTAGATCACATCTCCAGACCACTCCAAATGCCTGGCCAGTCCCATTGTTTGAGTCACGGCAGGCTGCTGTGTTCAGCTGAGGAGAGCTGATGCTCCAGGTAACCACCTCAGTGCTTTTCTCTGTCACCCTTGAAGCGACAGGGAAAAAAACACCACCACCAAGCCCTGTTTTAAACAATCTCTGGCACTTGCCAGAGTGAGAGAGAACTGAGAACACTCCTCAGCTGCAACACTGGTAGCTCAAAAAATGCTGTCCTCTACAGAACTGTACCCACAAAGTGAGCAAATGGCAGGCACTGCACCCCCAGATAAATAATGCCATATGCAGGCACACAGCAGTACCACTTGCCAGGGCACTGAGCACTTTGCCACATAAGAAGATGGACAATCTCAGGAGCAGATGCAGCTGTGACAAGGGAAAATGTGCCTATACACAGTGATAATGAGTCCAAAGAGACAGACTATAGTTTTATTCCCTCCTCACTCTTCATCAATCTTACCAGGAACCATGGAGGTGTTCAGTACTAAAGCTACCAGCCATCAAGGAGACAGAAAACAGCATGCTGTACTTCAAAATAAGATCAGTATCACCTTGTTGCAGAAAGGCAAAAGCTTCCTGTCCAGGTATGCATTTTCCTCTCTGCTAACTCAGTTTGCAGCTCTGCATCCCTCTTGGCTCAGAAAGGAGGACATCACACCACACCACCAGTCCCCTGGCCGGCACTGAGAGGTCAGGGTGCCGTGCCCACCATCCCAACATCTCCATCTCAGCAGTGATGCCCTGAGAGCAGCACAGACTTCACTGATGGACCCATTTGCACTGCTGAACTGCTTGGCACACAGCTGCAGTGCACTCTACCACAAGTTCCGGACACCAGACTTTGCTAAATTCATCTACTGGGAGCAAAAGACAAACCCCCAATAATCCTGCAAGCAGCAGCAATTCCTCCATGTCACAAAAAAACCCCACATTTTCCCATGGTTTGCCAGCACTATTATCTGCATAGACCAATGGGGAAAAAAATATTATTTAAGCTGTCACACTCATAAGCACGACCTTGCAATTCTGAGTATAGCTGCACCAGCATAATTATTAAAAAAGCATGTAGAAAGAGGCCTGTAAAAAAGTGATATTGTAATAATGCACTGAACACGTTCAGCTGAAAAGTGCTAAATGAGCACAAGAGACTTGAATACCAAGCACCAACACCCTGAAAGCACAGATACACTTTTCTTTCCCCTCAGCCTTGCTCCACATCAGCTTCCCCTGACAGCAATTTCTCATAAAAAAAAGTGAATTAAATATATACAGCCAGGAAGCATAAGCTGCCTTTGTAAAGCATTCTGATTAAAAACAGGAAGATACAGTTCAAATCTTGTATAAGATCCAGTCTTAGAAGATAAAAGTCCTTAATGAAACAAAAAGCTGGGCTTTGGTTGTGCAGGGGCACAGAGAGGAGAGCACATCATCACACAGAGCCGCAGAACCGTGCTGCCATCAGGACTCACAACTCACCATCACCTCTGAAATCCATCAGCTCTAGCCAAAGTTACATTCCAAGCGTACACTTTCACCCGGGAAGCCGATATTCCAATTTACAAACTAATTGGAACACATGATTCCTTTCTGCAACAGAGGCTCTTCGACGGTGGCAGGCCTGAGCCCTTCCTGATTTTTGCGACTGCAGACGGTTCTGACGTGGGCTGGACATCAGCGAGCAGATGCAAACGATGCCAAATCCTCCAGGCTGTGCGGAGGCAGCGAGCTGGCACTGCTCCTGCTGTCCCTGTGCAGGCAGCCCTTCTCCCAGGGATGCGAGACACACGTACATTTTACTCCCAACAGGTACAGAGGTGTTCCCACTGGCTGACAAACTGCACCTGTACCACTAATTACCTCAATATAACTTCAAATGCACAGAGGCACAGTCAGACCAATCCGAATTACAACAGTCCTAAGATAGCTGTAAGCCATACTCCTGACTTCATGCTACGAGAGATGGAAGAGTGGGGGGGAAAGAATAAAGTTATAGGTGCATTCCTAAAATGATGCATAGTGAATATAAAATGACTTGAATCCCCCGAGACTGCGAGCTGGCACTTATCGAGATATGCAGCTCCTAGCACAAAAGAGCATCTTACTGCCTCACCTGCTTGGAAAACACACATATTTGTTAAATAATTTTAAAAATCGCAATTGAAAGGAAACTGGATGTTTATGACACACGATTAAATATTAGACTGTATGCTTATTAGTGATGTCTACAGCTCAGAGCTGCATTTTTAATATCCTCCTCCTTGGAAACGATGTATTTAAGTACTCTTAAAATAATCCACACCAGTGGACTGCAGTTAGTGCAAACTGGCATTAGTGAGATTGCATTTCTGCTCTAATGAAGAAATAAACACCGGCATCTCATGCAGCTCTAACAAGTACATAACTGTGTTCTTTGTATTTAGCAATGGCTAACATATTCTAATACACCCTCGGAAAAGCTCTGTTGTTCCAAATCAATGACTTAAATAAAGCAAATTTTTAAACATATTGATAAAGAGGAACTGGTGTAGGGCTCACAACTCACTGTATCTGACCAGATATGTGGCCAGGACAACATGTCTAAACTTGGCAACAAGGATGGGATTAAAAAGATCTCACTGAAGGGCCTGCAGCATCGCTCAGATTCAATTCTCGGTTCTGTTGGTATTTCTCTGCACGGTATTTTAAGATGCAGTAAATAACTTGAGATCCAAGTCCTAAAGCACTCACCCTCTCAATGGAAACACATCCAGTATTATTTAGGTATAAAAATAAAAGGAGGCCTATTAAAGTACTCAGAAACCCCAAGCAACTTTTTGAGGAAAAGTCGACCTAAAAAATCGTTTGTAGAAATGGACCCTGGAACATGCAAAGAATCTTCCCAGTCTGTTCCTCTGGCCCTCCTGATGCCCAGCTCTGGACCAGGCCGAGCACACTAACGGTGTCCGAGCAATGCGGGTAAAGCTTAAATGAGCCGGCAGGCAGAGGCGGCGAGGGCAGGGAGAGGGACAGGGAGAGGGGCAGGGAGAGGGGCAGGGATAGGGGCAGGGAGAGGGGCAGGGATAGGGGCAGGGATAGGGGCAGGGGGCAGGACAGGGAGAGGGGCAGGGATCGGGACAGGGAGGACAGGGATAGGGGCAGGGAGCAGGACAGGGATCGGGACAGGGAGCAGGACAGGGAGCAGGACAGTGAGGACAGGGATC